TTATTTATGACTACAGGTTTGCTTTTTCAGAAAATTTCATACAAATGAAATCATATAGTATGTGGTCTTCTGTGTCTAGTTTCTTTTATTTAGCATCTAGCTGACATTTTGACTGCAATCTCATATGAGAATCTGAATCAGAACCTCCCAGTTAAGTTAATACTGAATTCTTGACCCAGAGAAACTGTGAGATAATGAATGTTTATGGTTATTTTTGTCCACTACATTTTGGGCTAATTTGTTACCCAGTAATAGATAACTAGTACACGTGGGTATGTGATACTACTGGGAAAATAAGTCCTTCTGATGATCAATGTGTTATTAAACCCAACCCCAAAGGTACATTTGTTACTATGAAGAGTTGTAGATATGATAAATTATATCTTGCAAATGTATTAGCATATTTTATTTTTATTTTTTTATTTTATTTTATTTTATTTTTTTTGAGACAGAGTCTCGCTTTCTTGCCTAGGCTAGAGTGAGTGCCGTGGCGTCAGCCTAGCTCACAGCAACCTCAAACTCCTGGGCTCAAGCAATCCTCCTGCCTCAGCCTCCCGAGTAGCTGGGACTACAGGCACGAGCCACCATGCTCGGCTGATTTTTATATATATATATTAGTTGGCCAATTAATTTCTTTCTATTTTTATGGTAGAGACGGGGTCTCGCTCAGGCTGGTTTTGAACTCCTGACCTTGAGCAATCCGCCCGCCTCGGCCTCCCAGAGTGCTAGGATTACAGGCGTGAGCCACCGCGCCCAGCCAGCATATTTTATTAATAATACAAAACTACCACTTGTTCTATTTTTAAAAGGAAAGTCATTTCTAAATCAGAAGAAAGAATCCCCAATTTATTTTTAGTCTATGAAAAAGTTTGGATGAACAAGGGAGAAAAGAAATTCTGGAAAGTCAAAATGTGGTCCAGCTGTCCTGGTGGGCTACTAAGGAAACCTGCCATATTAGTCTGGAATGAGTTTTGGTCCATCCGATGGAGCAATGAGTTTTGGTCGATCAGCTGTAATTCCAGGGGACTTAACTAGCCAGTTGCAACCTTGAGATATAGCTATCAAAAAATCATTTAGAGCAGCAATCCACAGCCTTTTGGCGCCAGGGACTGGTTTCATGGAAGACAATTTTTCCACAAACTGGGCCCAGGGGGCAGGGGATGGTTTCCGGATGATTCAAGTGCATTGCATTTGTAGTGCAGTCAAACCTCTCTGCTAATGACAATCTGTGTTTGCAGCCACTCCCCAATGGTAGCCTCACTACCTCAGCTCCATCTCAGATCATCAGGCATTAGATTCTCATAAGGAGCTTGGATCCCAGATCCTTTGTATGCACTTGCAGTAGGGTTCATGCTCCTATGAGAATCTAATGCCACCGCTGATCTGACAGGAGGTGGAGCTCAGGCAGTGATGGAAGCATTGGGGAGTGGCTGTAAATACAGATGAAGCTTCCCTTGCTCACCGACTATGCTCACCTCCTGCTGTGCCTCCCAGTTCCTAACAGACCATGCCTAGGGGTTGGAACCACAGATTTAAAGAATTCATAAGGGAAGAGAGGAACAGGCGCCTATAAGCTTTAGATTTTGAGTTTGATACTAAGAAAAAGGAAGAGCCTCACAATTTCACAACAGTGTGAATAGGTCAAAACTTCATGGAATGCTGTAAAACAAGGGAGAAGTGTGAAATGGTTTTGATAATTTGGAATTAGTAATGTTCTTGGCAATGATTTGTTGTTTGGTGATGATTTTGACTCAGTTTCTAATTCAAAGATTAAGCAAATTCATTTAGAATCTATTGGAATGGCAACAGTTACCAGGCTTTAAAAATATTTGAGTGTAAAGATTAAAATCTTTATGACACTTAGAAACAGTGTTCACTTCTTGTTATGTGTTGTTTTTGCCAAAACATTAGCTTCCATAACACATATTCAATTTTTCTTTTATTCAATATATATTAATATGTGGTAAAATATTTGCCCTTAGTATGAACATAACATTGGAATTTCTTCAAATTTATTACTTTGCTGTAAGATTTGTTCCAGTTTTTGCTGAAATGTTTGTCTACATAAATTAAATCTTCATGTAAATGATTTATTTAAATTTATTGTATTTAACTGCTGGCATTATACACATTTTTACTGATACATTCTGTGTCTGTGTGCACAATATAGGAATTCTCTCAAATTTATTTGATACTGTGACATGTTTTCTAGTTATTAGTACCAAGATACAGCACCAGCATTTGCCTTCATGGTTCTTTATGCATAGCATAGGGCTTTCATTTACCGATCATTTTTGTTTTGTTTTAATGTTTGCTCTATTTTTCAGTAATATATAATATATTATATATATTATAGTATATATATATATATATAGTAATGTAGCTTAGTATCTTTATTCATGGTCAGTGAGTATATAATTAAATATACAGAACCAGTTATTCCTAGAACTCAGAGTACTGTACAAGTTCACTGTATTTGCATGAACATGTAATACTTCCCTCTATAAAACTAGTGAATCATTTAAACACTGTCACAAATAATGAAAGTATTTTTATCCCTTAAATTTTTCTTACAAATTGGGTACTCTTATTCACATTCACAAATATTATGTGTTGTGCTTCCTTCAGCAGCACATATGGCAAATCTTAATGTCAGCAAATAAAGTATTATGATTCAGGTACTAGAGAAAATCAGAAAGTGATTTGACTTAAAAGATCTAAGTGTACTAGAGGAAATGGACATGCAGACAAATACATTGCTATGGGATATGTGATATGTGTGTTTTACAGAGTGTTTTGGATGGTTAAGGAGGGTTTTACTGAATAGGTGACTGTTAAGCTAAACTGTGGTTTTTCAGGTCAACAAGGGGAGGAGGGCATTCCAGACAGATCAAAGAGCATGAATAAAGACAAGGAAGTATGAAAGAAACATCTAGCATATTCTGGAATAGCTAGTGGGCTGGAGCCTAGGAGTGAGAGAGACATCCTGAGATAAGGAAGGAAGATTAAGCAGAAACCAGACTGGACTGGTTGTCAGCCAAGCTGAGTTTGGACTTAAAACTTTAGGGTGGGGGAGCTACAGGAATGTTTATAGATAGAGGAATTTTCCTTTAAAAAACTTTCTCTGGGCTGGCATGGTGGCTCATGCCTGTAATCCTAGCACTTTGGGAGGCCAAGGTGGGAGGATTGCTTGAGATCAGGAGTTCAAGACCAGCCTGAGCAAGAGAGAGACCCCCATCCCTACAAAAAATAGAAAAATTAGATGGGCATAGTGATGCATGCATGTAGTCCCAGCTACTTGGGAGGCTGAGGCAGGAGGATTGCTTGAGCCCAGTTGTTTGAGGTTGCTGTGAGCTATCATGGCACCACTGCACTCTAGCCCAGGTGACAGAGTGAGACCCATTCTCACAAAAAAAAAAAAAAAAAAAAAAAGATTTTTTTTTTGGATAGATTGGAGAGCAAAGAAATGGAAGGCAGTCAAATCATTTAGGAGGCTATTATGGTAGTTAAATAAGAAGTGATAAGATCTGAAATTATGGTAAAAGGCAGTGAAGATGATGATGAGGGGTATGAATTTAGAGAACTTGATATGGGGGTGTAGGGAGAGAGAGATATGCCAAAATTTGCTCTGAGGCTTCTAGTTTGGGTGACTGTGGGAACAGTTATGCTGCTAAATGAGAAGGAAAATGAAAATGCCATAGGTCATAAGGAATTATCTTTGATTCCTCCTGCTTCTTTGCACTAAACAGATTACCAACCACTGCCAAAACTTTGCCTCCAATCTCCCCCACCCTTCACTTTATGCTTCAAAGTAATCTTCCTAAAGCAGCTCTGATTATATACATTTCTGCTCAGAAACATCTGAAGGACCCCCACTGCATGCAGAATGAAATCTGAGGCTTCCTAGTGGAGCATTCAAGACTCCACATTCTGGCAGGCCAAGGAAATAAAGACCACTTGGATACTTTTATCTCTTGCTAGTTGTTATTTTCCTTCCCCATCGTCAAACATTAATCTAATCTTCGTTCCTCTAACACATCCTGTCTACTGTTTTTGAATGCCGTGTTTCTTATCCATCTCAGTCTGTCAAAATTCTACCCAGCGTTTACGTCAGATTATATCTCCCTAACACTTTACCCGTTCCCTTAGTCGACACTATTCTTCCTCTTTTGTGGTGCACAGACTTTCATATTCAATTCTAACACTTCTGGCGTCCTGCCTGGTTTTATAGATAGTTGTGTCTTGGTATCCCTTCTCCTTGTCCTGTGACTGACGTATGCACTGTACGGGCTAAAAAATTTGCCATGAATGACCTGGATCAGGGATCTGATCTTTCTACCAACCACTCAAAGTCTAGCAGACAAGTCTGGAAAATCAGGCGATTCTGTGACTCCATGACATCACCCATAAAAAAAAAAAAAAAAAAAAAAAAGAGTCCAGAGTCACTTGTCTCTGAGGGGACCTTTTGCTGTCTTGAATAACCATGACACAAGGTGGGAGCAAAATAATTTGCTGTCAGGAGAGTACGGCTTCTGTGACAAGTCTCGAGATGCCTTTTTTGTTTATGTAAAATAAAATATTCTACGCACTGAACTTTTAAAAAGACTGAAGGGCTCTAAGATTTCCTGAGGTGGAATTTCCCGGTGCCTAGTGTCCTCCTCCTGAGGTCAAATGCACTGACCATTACACACTGTACTCTGGACTGGATTAAAACACACAGCAAAACAGGCGCGCGGTCCGAGGCGTCGGACTGCTGCGAGACCCCGCGCGACCCGCTCTCTACTCCACCCCGCCCCGCCCCGCCCCGCCCCGGCGGCCGCAACCCCAGAGGCTCCTAGGGAACTCCCGCACGTCTGCGCGCGCAATCCCGGGACGGAGGGTCGGCACGGCGCGCTCAATTGCCCTGGAAACCACTGCGCGCGCACGCGCAAACGCGGGGCGGGGAGGACTGAGCTAAGCGCTCAGCCGCCGGAGGAGGGCTTTACCCTTCCACTCGACCGTCGCTCCCCGACCGTAGGCGCGCGCACGCCGCCCCTCTCCCTCGGGCGGAGCGTCCCTCCCAGCACGCGCCCGGCTCGCGCGCTCCCCCAGGCGCCCTCCCCCGCCTCACACTCACCCTTGCCCTCCTCCCTCCCGCATTTGTGCGCCGGTGCAGCAGGCTGTGGGAGCATCCGGGCATTTCCGCAGCTGAGCGGCGATCCGGGCGGCGGCGGCGGCGGCGGCGGCGGCTGCGGTCGAGGATCTCCCGTGGCAGGGATGAGGCGGGGGGAAGGCGAGAGGGAAGCGAAGCGTTAAGCCGGAGCCGCCGCGGGGCGGGCTGCTGAGGGAGGCGGAGGGGGAAGCGGCTCTCGCGGCTGGAGGAGGGCCGGGCGCGGGGCTTGTCGCCCCTCTCGCGCATTCCTCGGTCCAGTCAGGGCTCCGGAGATGCATCTGCATCAGGTCCTCACCGGGGCTGTCAACCCTGGAGACAACTGCTACTCCGTGGGCAGCGTCGGGGATATCCCCTTCACGGTGAGCGGCGTCTGGGAGCCCGAGGGGGAGAGACCGGGGTCCAGACACGGGGGCGGGGAGCCCCTGTCCGGGGCCCACGTCTCCGCGGGAGGCGGTGAGATGTCTGTGGGCCCCACCCGCGGCCCCTTTGCAGCCATGGGGTTTAGTTTCCTTTGGGGACCACGGGACTGTGCGTCCTGCGGCTAGTGTAGGAAATTACCCGTCAGGGGAAAGGATTAGGAATCCACCGCACTGCTCACCCTCAGCAAACGGGCCCGGGGTGACTGGACTGGAAGGTACCTCCCAGGGCAGCCTTTGGCGCTGCGGTGGAGGAAGGTGGTTGCAGCTGCTGAAACCCCACAGCGTCGGTTTTGCACCTGCTCTCGGCGGCGTGGAGGCGAAGAGATTTGGGCTTCGTCTCGGAGCGTGGAGGCGATGCTGCGCCTTGGCTCCCCCTGCCCGTTGTGCTAGGGCAGCGAGGAGCTTCTGGAGCCTGTGGCTTTAAACCTGACCCCGTGTATCTCCTCATATGCACGATCTTAATTCCAGCAAGAAAATAGAAAAATTCATCCTCTGCTCCCGAAAGACTTAGAATTGAAAGGTCAGAGTAACAGTGATCTGGCGAGCTACCTTATTTATCAGGAGGTCGCAGTTTAGTAACCATTCTAGGTAATATTTTAATCTGTTTGTAAGGTAGCCTGGTTTTTTTTTAAGGCAATGGGAAAATTTTCTTGTTTGTGAGAGGAAAGTGTATGTAAACATAACATTATAGAACCTCTTTAAATTCTAGATGACACAGATGTGTTTCTCAATGAGATTGGACTCATTAGTTCTTTTTGAGAATGGAATGTTCAAGCCCTAGAGCTTCTTTTACTCATAGGCAGACTCCCATAGAGTAACATGAGTTGTTTTTTTAAAATTAAATTTATACATGGTCCTCCTTAGAAGGAACTGTAGGCAACCAGATCTCTATTAAATACACTTTGTTATTGATAAACATTCTGCCTGATTAAATTGGAAAATGCATAATGGTATGCTTTTTAGATAAGGGGGAGCGCTTTGATCTGATGTCTGCTTTCCAACAGCATGTTTTTGAAACTGCAGAAAATAAGAAAGCTTCAGCAAAACTGCAGAATCATTATGTAGCAGTGCATTCTGGAACAGAATTTGTCTATTTTTTAATGTTTTGTGATACATAAAAGTAACCCCACAAGATTGCTTTTTGACCATTTTAATTTTTAAATGTAGTAAGGTTGGCTTTGCTCCAGTTTAGAATGAACCCTTTAAAAACAGAATTTCCCTGACTTATATTGTTACACCTATGACTATCAATGGTGCCATCTGTGTTTTGTGTACATGTGACTTGAAAGATCCGTATGGAATTGAGCTTGGATTTCAAGTGTGTGGAGAATCTTTGGGGAATAGAAGAAATTTTTCTGTTCCTCACTTGTGTAGATAGGGAGGAAGTTCCCCAGGGTTAGAAAAACAGGCTTCCTCCGTCAAGAAACAGATCTGGATCCTTTGGTTATGAAGTATCTTCCCACTAGAATGGTGGTGGTAGTTTATTGCTTCTATCTAAAGTGGAGTGTTGTCTCACTGCGGAGCTGGTATATAGAGCTCAGCAGGTTCGGATGCAGTCTGGAAAAGCCAGTGTAAGAACTGTTAGTGCTGTGTAGGTGTGATTCAGATCTTTTTCCACCTCCCTAATTCAACCTGTCACCAGGTCTAGCTGACTCCCTGCAGTATCTATCAGATTTATCTCTTTTGATGTCCTTAGTCACCACCTTATTTTAGAATCTTATTTGTATTACTTAATATAAAAGCTTTCAAACTATATTTCCTGACACTTATCTTTGATCACTTCAGTTCATCCTCCACACAGCTGCCAGGATAATTTTCTTCAAATACCATTTTACCATATCGCTCTTGGCTTAAGAATATGTAGTTGTTCCTAATAGCTGTATTAGGAAATTTAAACTTGTCAGATATTCTCCTGCTATCTTTGACTTTATATTTGATTAAATGTACTTCTTTACCTTGCCTGCTATGTTACATCTTCTCACGTTAGCCTATATTTTTATGTTGTAACAACAGAGTCCTTGCTTTTCATCTTCCCAAATTCGGCTCAAACTTTACCTGATGTAGGATGTCTGCCTGTGACGGTTACCTTGGCCTTCTGGCAAATGCAAATACAAACCCATTTTGCACAACATCTCATTTTAATAACTTAGTTTTGAATGCAGTGATCCAGTTATAGTTTTGCCATGAACTATAAATGACCTTTTGGGCTTTATGAAAAATGGATTTGCTTTAAAAAAGTGAGAACAAGCTGTTTGCAGGCACTGTGGAATCAACTAACAAATACCTGAATGCCTATATTTGTGTAGTAAAATAAAAAGCAAAGCTCTGCTTCATAGCGTATGCCACTTGATTTTTAGAGCAATCAAATGAACAAGCTGGGTTAGATGACTAAAAAGGGGAAAAAAGCCAGGACTAGAATGAAGATCTTGTGACTTCTCATCTGGTGGGTTTTTCTTGGTAGTATGTTTCCTTCTCAGAGTGCGTGCTCTGGAGTGTGTGTATATGTGGGTGGGTGGATGGGGAAGGCCTTCTGGACATAGTTGGTATAGAAGGAAAGACTGTCTTATAGCTAGCCAATGGTTCTTAGCTGATGGTGTATTTCATGATAACTTGAGAACCTTTTAAAAATAGGATAGATTATTTCGGAGTCTATAATCTGGTAAATTTTGTTTCTAAAAAATTTTTTACCTTGCTAATTGACTTTGCAATAATATAAACTGTTAAATTTTGAAGAATGGGATTGTTCTAAAAGGATTTTGAGTTTATGACATTGTAATTGAAGAACCGTGTCTTATGTATTTCATTGTGCATGGTGGGTGGTGTGATTACCTGGGCTGTGAATGACTGCTTGATGATGTCACGATGTTCCAGTTTGTGCTATATTGACATGATGGTGCAGTCTGTAATGGACAGTCCCAGTTGATGTGTGTAGTTTTCATGGTAACATGTAAGCGATGATGGTTTTCACTTGTGTTTTGGTGGTTAGCGCTGTTTTTTCAAACAGTCAATTGTGGATTTTGTAAATACAGTTCTATATGTCATGTTTTAAAACATCGCCTTTTGATCATTTTGTTCTTTTCCATGTAAGATCTAAGTTCTGGAAGTTATCCTGCAAAAAGTCAGATCCTAGGTAGTCCAAGGAGATGATCTTCTACCATGTATGAGCTTTATTATACTTTATTATGCCTTTAAGACATTTTCAACTATTTTGCTATTTAAGACATTTCTAACTACTTTTAGATAAGTGAATGTTTTGAGGCTTTATGCAACAGATATTATAAATTTCTCATTATATATGTGGTTTATTTTTCTGAAAAGTAGTCCTTAGCTGTTTTTTACTTTTCTGTAAATATTAAAATATTAATTAAAATGATGGCACATGACAATTCTTAATTAAAAATTTTCACCATTTGGCCATAAGGCATGCAGACTGCATTTTCAGATGTTTATGGGCAGTTGATATTATTCCAATTTGACATGAATTCAACACATTGCTCAAAGTTTATAAAAATTTATGTCATTTCCATTCTTACGGAGTTTATAATATATTGGCAGAGATTAAAAATGATGTACATAATTGTAACATAAGGCAGATGAAAGAGATCTTATGTAGTTGGGAAGATTAAAGGTTTCACAGAAGATTGACATTTGGAAAAGCAAGAACAACAGAAGCCAAGGAATGGCATAATACAAGGGATAAATTATTGAGTGAATATTCTCTTGACAAAAGTGATTTCTTTAAACCACAGGACTTCTTTATTAGATAGCAAACACCTTTAGAATGTTGAAAAATATAATTTGCAAATATTACCCGTAGCTTTTTAGGAAAATATATCTGATATTCTGACATTTCTTCCATTTTTGTTGATTTTGTTTTTTATTAAAAAAACCATCAAAAAATTGATAGCGAATGAAGAACTATCCATTTAAAAATTAGAAGTTAATGTTATGTGATCTCTTTTTTGGCAATTAGATATGGGTTTTTTTTAAGATTTCTTTGTCCACGTTGAGAATAGATATGTTTTAACTGTACTGTATTATAACATTTCAGTCCTAGAATTATGGTAATACCAAACTTTGATATGATCAACGTGTTTATAAATTTAGCACATGTTTGTCGAACACATAGGTGTGTTAGGCTTTGTGGGGATTAAAAAGAAAAAAAAGAGTCCAGGTGCGGTGGCTCATGCCTATAATCCTAGCTCTCTGGGAGGCCGAGGCGGGAGGATTGCTCAAGGTCAGGAGTTTGAAACCAGCCTAAGCAAGAGCGAGACCCCATCTCTACTAAAAATAGAAAGAAATTAATTGGTCAACTAAAAATATATAGAAAAAATTAGCTGGGCATGGTGGCACATGCCTGTAGTCCTAACTACTCGGGAGGCTGAGGCAGAAGGATTGCTTGAGACCAGGAGTTTGAGGTTGTTGTGAGCTAGGCTGACACCACGGCACTCTAGCCCGAGCAACAGAGTGAGACTCTGACTCAAAACAAGAACAAAAAGACCTACTCCTGATTTCAGGGAGTTTATTAAAGAAGTTTAGGAACCTAGTAATCTAATAGGAAAGTAAGACATGTATCTAACCACAGCAGGCCAGCTGTGTGGTATTACAGCGTTTCCCCGAAAATAAGACCTACCCATAAAATAAGCCCTAGCAGGATTTCTAAGCATTTGCACAATATAAGCCCTACCCCGAAAATAAGACCTAGTGATGGGCGTGGCTATGCAGCATATCTGCACAACCCATGCATTTCATTGAGGAGTGGTATCTCATCTGCTCCATGAGAGCTCTATTGCTCGACATGAGAGATTGGGGCCAATGGTTCTAAAGGAAATAGAGTCACAAGAAATTCAGGATGGAATTTGGGGTTTGGAGAGTTATGATGATGTTCCAGAAGAAGACGACTTAACTATATTTGAATAAATGTAGATTGTACCGTACTT